TCCATCCATCCATCCATCCATCCATCCATCAACAACATTGTTGGATAGATGGATTGATGTCCATCCATCCATCCATCCTTATCTTTTATGCATAGATGTGATCTAAATAAATAAACAGTCTCTTACTTGCAGTACATGTGCCCCTGTCCAGGAGAAATCCAAAGGACAGCAAAAACAATCCAAGCAGCATCATCTCTCTTAATCTAGACTTGCAACCTACAAATTATTAGGAGAGTAGTAGTAGTTTAAGGAGCATGCATAGAAGAGATGCATCAACTTTATAACACAAAAGCAAAAAACAAAGCAATCAAAGCAATAAAAAAGCTTAAAAACTAACCTGAAAAGAGTCCAGGATTTGACAGCACGTCAGCTTCGAACTGACCCTGACAGTAGCCAGCGCTCGACTGTGATTCACTGTGAACTGGCGTTTTTCAGATTGCAGTGAAACAAGAGATAGCCAACCAAGACTTTGTGGGTGGAGAATGTGGAGTAATTATTTTAAGGGGGTGGAGACAAGCAGCATAATGTTCAAACATATAGCTTCCAGTATGAATTAAAATGTGATTCATTCTAATGATGACTAAACAGATTATGCAAATAAACATAATCTGATTCACAGGAGGTTGCATTATAGTTAAGCTCAGCCCCCATAAGTTGCATGATACTTAAATTGCATGCTGGGCATTTGAAGCAAGATTTCTCTCATCGTAAAAGTAATTGTAGTAAGAACGAAAGCTAGGGCACATTTGACTGGTTATTGGAGATGCTGATGTTACATATGCACAAAACACAAAATGCTCAGTGGGGAAAGAGTCAAAATATGACTTTTTGCAGTGTTACACTCTCTGGTGAAATGAGACCATGTCGATCAAAGGGTTGCAGTACACAGAAAGAAGATAAAATAACGTTCTCTCTCAGAGAACATAAACAAGGCTTTATTGGACAGTGTTCACTGCCCTTGGAGAGACATCTGAAGCTATGTGAAGTGTCAAATTGCTAAGAAAGCCTTTGAAATAGTGCAAATGAAACAGCGCTAAAGGTAATATGGAGTGAGAGACTGTTTTTTCCTTGCAGCTCTAAAACCAGTGTTTGACCTGTTCCCCCTCTTCAGGTGTGTATTTCTGATTGACTGCATGTTTCTTACAGTATGGTTTAATTATTAATGGAAAACCAAGAAGTTAAAGTTTTATTTACACCCAAATGAATCTGAATTCTGAAAATGTACACAGTCTTAAAACATTTATTCAAATATGAACTAAGAGGCTTCCTAGCAGCCGAACTGCAATTATTTTTTTCAGTTTTGCAGTAAGAACTGGTTACTTAATAAATACACATGATGTTAAAAATAAATAAATAAATAAATAAATAAAGGAATGATGCTAAACTGTCTATATGAATGTGTTCTTCTATTGAATCAGTATGTATGTGTGTTTTCAGTGGGTGTCTTGTAGCTTCAAAATGTAGAACAGACCTAAAGAAGTGAGTAAGCAAGTGATTATATAATCAATCTATCTCATCTTTCATCTCATGCAGAAAGAGTAATAAATTAAAGTAATAAAGTAAATAAATCATTGCTGATTTAAGCAGGACTGAAATATGATTGAACTACCTTTTCCTAAAAACCTGTCCCACTAAACCATCTACAGGTCACTCTTCTGTTGCAGGGCTAATGTTGTAACATTGTAGAATGTGGCACAGTGGAATCATTATGAGGATCTTCTGCCAGCTATTGGCTTAGGACTATTCTTCTTCTTTTGCATGTTTTTATTTATTTATTTGATGTGTGGACTTTAGCCACATCCACGTGGGAGGTTCCCCTCTTGTCTAGCTGCCAGCTATTTGAAGTTGAATACTGTTAGCGTGGGTTTGGAGCCCTTTTCGATGAGGACAGAAATGGGGAAACTCTGGTGTGGAGAGGCAGGAAACAAAGGTGCTGGAGATCACATGAGGAGCTGGTTGAATTAGTTGTATGGGAAAAAGCACACCTTTAATGCAAATGGTTTTACCCTGGACTGGCCGGTTCTTTTTTAGTGGAAGGAAGATCCATTTTTAAGGGAATATGTGGAGTTTTTAAGAAAAAACTGGACTGGGAACTGATGCTAGCAACTTATGTATTATGAGAGTCAAAGGAGGAAAAGCCTACTGCACAATTAGTAGGTGACCAACCTGATGGAAGCACTAAGACCAAGAGATTGAAAGTGGCATTCCCAGGACTTGATGTAGAAACTCACTCCCACCAACACAAAGCTTTTTTAAGTGGAAGGTGCGTGGAAACTATTTTAGGAAGCTACAAAATCAACATATGATTGACTGCTTATTTCGTTGAGTTACCATCTTTTCCTGTCTATGACCAAGCTGAAAACTCAGACCATGTTCTTAGGCCATGGACTGTGGACCGGAATTGCACTCCCAGTGCAGTAGTCTGCTATGAAAAGAAAAAAATGTATTGCTTATTTCCTGTGAGTGTGGTGGTTTTCTCCAGAGTGCTATTGGGATTTGTTTCCTTCTTATACCGAGACAACTTTTCCCCATTTTACATAGACTAATACATAGACAACTATTCAAGCCTACAGTCTGATAAGAATCACCAATAAAACTAGCCCGATGCATGCTTTTAAGTTGTGGGAGGAAGCCAAAGTACATGGGAAAGAAAAAAACCCCAATCAGACACACTGAAAACATACAAGCTGCTTAGACTGGATTCAAATCCAGGACCAGAAGATCAAAATTTTAGCTGTAATCATGCTTATAGAATTGGGTTTTGTCCACTCAGCTGATGGCAGCATCAATAATTTGTATGAATAAAATCAAATGTGGCATCAGAAGGAGGATGTAAGGTCAGAAAGTTTAGGGAAAGTGCCCAATCTAAGAGTGGGGTGTGAGGATTTGATGTTTAAGGGTATTTACTGAAATGAATAAAAAGGGCTAGCTGCGGGATGCTGGTAGTGAAGAGGTCCAACAAAGTAAACCAACCAAAAATTGAGATGGCATGAGGAACACCAGCAAAGAAAATGAGCAATTGGTAAAAACTGGGAAACCGATTGGGGGCACACAAAGAATTAAGAAGATGATGGCAGGGGAAACTGATGAGGATGGCAAAAAAGATCAAAAACAAAGACAGGAAGCAAATGAAGAAAAAAAAACTCACTATAGCAACTGTGATAACCAACAGAAAACAGGAAGTGGCTATAACACAAGCACACAAATGCGCTTTAAAGGCTTTATGTTCCCCCGGAGGACACACCCATGCATACTTGATCAAGTCTCCTCTGTCCTTTCAACATGACCTTCTAGGTCAGGTCAGGTCAGAGTAGACCAGGAGGTACACATTAGAGAAATGAAAGAAGCCCATAGAGACATGCAGAAAGGGTCAGTGGGAAATAAAATGTAAAAATAAAATAAAAATAACCCATGCAAGAGGCTTTGTGTTTTCTTTCGTGCGGATATGGTCTTGAAACTACACATGTGACAAACACAAATCTATTCAGAGCTGCCAAACGTCAGTCTACATCTGCAGTGGGTGGAGCTCGCTCGGTTGTCATGAAGACGGTCCGTTGGGTTGCCGTTGTGTGCACAAAAAGTATCGGCGTGGCTTTAAATTAATTTAATGAAATTTCCTTCATTTAGCCAGTGATGGAGTAGTATTATTGTTATTTTTTTTATTTCCCAAAGAAAGTCGGAATTTTAAATTCACAGCAGCAAGAGAATCGCTCCAAACGGGTCTAAAAGAAGCAGTAACAGCTGCCAGTGACTGTCAACAAATCCACTACACCCACTGCGAAGGACTGTGGAGAAGTTTCCTCATTATTTAACCTTTTTTTTTCATCCGCACACATCTCTGACGTGAACGTAAGTCCCATATGGTCTAGCGGTTAGGATTCCTGGTTTTCACCCAGGCGGCCCGGGTTCGACTCCCGGTATGGGAACTCCTTTTCACAGTGTTCATGCTCACGCGGTTAAAAGATCTCTACCAATGAGAAAGGCGATGGAAAAAGTTTCTCCTCGTAAACACTAAGTGTGTTGTGTTTTCTGCTCCTTTCTGTTATTATAGAATATAATGTTGAGGCATTTTCCTGCTGTTGTTGCTGGATGTTGGAGTTTTTGGCATACTGTTGTTGGACCCCACTTTACCTACACAAGTGCTTTAATTCAATACTTAATTCCAATTCCATAGAGGTGATTCTGTTCATCTGGATATCCTTACATGGATGACTGAGCGTGCCTCAAGCCAAGTCTTCATGACATAGATTCAACAAGGTCCTGTAAACGTTCCTCAAAAGGTTTGGTCCAGATTGACATGACAACAGCAGAAGTTATCATTTCAGTATGGTTGCCAGCTGTACCGCCACGATGTGACTCTCCCATCACTTCCACCTCATCCTCCTAAAGGTGCTCTGTTGGCTCGAGGCTTGGTGACTGTGGGGGTGATTGGAGTTTGGCGAACTCATTGTCATGTTTAAGAAATCAGTAAGCAACAATATTCAGGTAGCCTTAGGCATTTAAAGGAAGAAAGCACTGTTGTGCACACAAACAAGCATAAACACCCATACCGTCAGGATAAAAGAGTAATCACAAATGAAAATAATAAATAGATAGGTAACAGTCCTGATGGTAGCAGCAATGTGTTTTCTTCACTGATCGTTTCTGCTACGAGCTCCACAAACTAACCCGCATGTTCCCCTTTGAAAATGTGGTGAAACGGGTACTGCGCTGGTCTGGAGGAGATGGGAGACAAGGCCAGAAGGCGCGCAATAAATTTCCGGTTGTTTTCCTCACCGCTTCTTTCGATGATGAGCTCTAGAACGAGTCCGATGACTCCGCTTTAGCCCATCGACCAATCAGAAGTCGGTGCGCGTTGAATGCGAGGTGCAGAGGCGCCCTGTGATTGGCTGAGGTGGGTTTTTTCTAAAGGGGCGTATTTTTCAAGCCATCTTGACTGAATATTTAGCCTCATCCAAGGTACATTAATTTGATATCTTCAGGATTTCGGTGTCCCTAGTTTGATGACCACTATCGTTTGAAAGGTTAAAACCACACCAATGAAACCGGGTCGAGTTTGTGTGTTTAAGCGCAGTCACGGCGGAGAACGGGAGTGCTGAAGATGACGCTGTCGCTCCTGAAATTACCGGCTAGCTAAGCTAACGGCTAGCATGTCTGCCTTGATTGTAGTCTGTCAGTAGCTGACATTTAGCTTGGTGCAGTTTTTCTGTCGGGCACTCGCACTGCAGAGGACGACTGAACAAGGTAAACAACTCTGGTGTGTTTTTTAAAGGGCACTTTCAGGACTGATAGGAAAATCAGCCTTTCTGTCACACGGCATCCGTGTGTCCTGTCCGACCGAGAAACGTTATCACATCGGCAAAGAGACGGTCTTTTTTTTTTTTTTTTTGCAGGGGTCTGGACTACAAAGCAATACCCGAAAACGTTGCACGTTTGCACTCTCGTGATCTAAAGCATACATGCAATGTAATATGCATTCGGACTCGGTGCATACAGTGCACCTGCTCTCTGGCTGCTGTTTGCATGTATAATTGGGCTGCTAATCAACTTGCAATACAGTCGTTGTCTCTGCTGTTGTGCGCCTAAAATGGCTGACAGATGTTAGATACTCGGGTTGGTATTTAGCGCGCTTCAACCTAACTAGGCACAGCAACAAGGGGGTAGAAAAAAAACATGGTGCTAGCGTTTTATTGGTGGGCGAGACTTGTGCTCGCGTTACAGACTCCCCTTTTGACCAATGGTGAGAGAGGCGAGATGCAAGCAGTGCAAGTTACTGTAGTTGTGTTTGTGCAACATGAGTGCTTACTGTGTTATTACAGAGCACAGCACCCGAGCTGACCCCCTTTTACCCTGTAATTATTTACACAGGAATAAAAAAAGAAAACACCAATAAACAGAATAAAGCAAGCTTTTAGGGCAGAATTAATTAAAAAAAAACACGTTAATGGATACATAAAACCTATATATTCTCATTATGTCTTTATAACGTGTTTTAGGGGCTTTATTTTTCTTACTCTGGAAATGTGGTGATAAAAAATATATGTAATGTGTGAATGCTGGGTGTGACATAAACAAAACCACATTAAGAGCCACAGGCATACAAAAACTACTTTACCTGGCAGAGCAGATTATTGAGTGTTGCTTTATATTGGTCGGTAAATTTTGCAAATTATTCCCGAATATCGGAAAAGTGCAATAATAATGAAAATAATAGAAAAATAAATGGGCCCCTGTCAAATTGGATTCATTGTTAGTGCACAATTGGTACAGTGCAACATTAAGTCAAATCACTTTACTGCCATTTGAACCATATACAGGTAATGCTGTACATAAATTGGTGCACCATAAATTACCTTCCACATGACCAAAATTGCAGCCAAAAATTATATGTAACATTTTGCTTGTCTTGTAGAAATAAAATTAAACAGACAGTTTTAATGTGAAATGCTTTCATTGTTAATCCAAACAACGTGATCCCAGTGACTAAATAAGACAGAGATAGAGCATTAAAAGAATATGTATTTTGGGTAGGGGGCTTTTTAGTCTTTATTTGGTAGGATAGTAGAAAGAAGACAACAAAAACTGAACCCAGGCCTCCACATTAGCCATATGCCAAAGGGGACGCCTGCTTAACCCAGTGAGCTTAATCAGGACCAAAGATGATTTGAAATCTGTAATGGCAGAAGTGGCAGTCAACCAGTTGTTTTATTGTCTGACGCACATGCACAACTGAGGTTCATGATAGTTTCAGCTGTATCGCAGCAGGCGTTTCTACTTGCTTTTTGTACAATCTACTGTACAATATAAAGCGCCTTGAGGTGACTGTTGTTGTGATATATAAATAAAATTGAATTGAATTGAATTGAATTTTGCAGCAAAGCATTCGGATCGTGTCTGCACTCTGGATGAATCCTTAAGGGAAGCTGTGTTGTTTTGAATTTTTGAAAATGTGTAGTAGAAAAAATGGCCAGACTGTGAATTGTATGCATGCAGGTCTAATGCCCCTTAGTTATTTTGCCTTGTTAGGGTATCAAAATAGCTGCCTAAATGAGTTACCAAGGTGGCTACTGAGTGGCGAAAGTTGCTTGTAGAAGAAATTTGGTGATATGTTGTTTTTTGTTTTCACTAATCTTAATATAGGCACTCTGTTTTTCTCCCCTAAGCTTTTATATCTTCAATGCTCTCCAATGTGAATATACAGCAGCTACAGTAAATCTTTGCATATAATTTCACAAAGTACCAAATAGTGTTGACGCTGCAATTTCAATCGTTGCATTAAACATTTTTCTTCTCTATTTCTAAGGGCGCTAGTGCAAAGTCCCATGCAGAAGACGAGGAGGTGGGAATGCGAGGCAGTTGTTAGCAGACTCAGCATGGGTAGGGGTCGAGGCAGAGGGAGAGGAAGGGGCAGGGGTACATCTGGCCAGTTGCGGCCCCCCTCCCCTTACAGACTGCAGCTCTCTCCATCCAGGGAGACTTTGACATACGCTCAGGCTCAGAAAATAGTGGAAGTGGACCTAGATGGAAGACTCCATCGGATTAACATCACAGATCCTCTGCCAGTTATCACAGAGGACGAGATGATGGCCCAGGACATTGCAGAGTGCAACAGTAACAAGGAGAACAGTGAGCAGACACAGAGTAAAACCAGGACGTGGAGGAAACCCGCAAACGGCAAAAACAGGAGGAGTGGTAAAAACACATCAAACCAGAACCAGCGCTCCAGCTCTAATCAGCACACAGGATCAGCTTTTTCCTTCCAGCAGCCGGCCCTCCAAACACCTCTGCCTGAGCCGACCTTCCGCGTGCTGAGTTCGGTTTCCCCCACAGAGGCACCTCCTCTCCCGGCAGCCTACTATCGTTACATAGAAAAATCTGGGGAGGAGCAGGACAGCGTGGCAGAGTATGACATGGACGAGGAGGACCTCGCCTGGCTGGAGATGGTGAACCAGAAGAGGGTGTCCGATGGCCATGCATCCGTATCTCCGGACACTTTTGAGCTGCTCATCGACCGCCTGGAGAGGGAGTCCATCTTGGAGTCCCGCAGCCAGGCTCTGTCCCAGAATGCTGTCGACGAGGATGCATTCTGCTGCGTCTGCTTGGATGACGAATGTCTGAACAGTAACGTCATCCTGTTCTGTGACATCTGTAACCTGGCCGTCCACCAGGAGTGTTACGGTGTGCCCTACGTCCCCGAGGGCCAGTGGCTGTGCCGCTGCTGCCTACAGTCCCCCTCCCGCCCTGTAGACTGTGTTCTCTGTCCCAACCGAGGAGGTGCCTTCAAACAGACAAGTGATGGGCGTTGGGCCCATGTTGTCTGTGCCATATGGATCCCAGAAGTTTGCTTTGCCAACACGGTGTTCCTTGAGCCCGTGGAGGGGGTCAGTAACATCCCTCCCGCTCGTTGGAAGCTCACCTGCTACCTGTGTAAGCAGAAAGGCAGAGGAGCCTCCATTCAGTGCCACAAAGCCAACTGTTACAGGGCTTTTCACGTCACCTGCGCCCAGAAGGCTGGCTTGTTCATGAAGATAGACCCAGTCCGGGAGACAGGTGTTAACGGCACCACCTTCTCCGTGAAGAAGACCGCTTTCTGTGAGCATCACTCTCCTGTTGGGTCTCGGCGAGACGGGTCTGGAGATGAGTCGGTGGAAGGGAGGCTCGTGGGGGGCAGGGGTAATCGGGGTCAGCGGTCTTATACTCAGAGTCCCCCCTCATCACCAAACAAGAAAGCTACCAAAGGACAAAAGAAGAAGAATTCAAAAGGGTCTGGTGGGTCACGTCGCTCCAATATTCCTGTGCTGCTGGTGCCTCAGATCCCGTCGCACAGGTGTGTCATTTGCATACTGTACAAATTTCCATAGTTTACCATTTGCTGTCTGATTTTAATCTATGTCACTGAGAGATTTTTACAGATAGCCTTATCATAATGTCACTATCCAGTGGTTATAATGTTAATACTAGTATTTTAATCTATAAACTCTCACGTTGTGTCTCAACAGGCTGAACAAGATCTGCACAGGAGCTGAAGTCCAGAGAAAGAACCAGTTCATGCAGCGGCTTCATAACTACTGGTTGCTGAAACGACAGTCGCGAAATGGGATGCCTTTAATACGGCGGCTTCATTCCCACCTACAGGCCCACAGGACTGCAGAGCAGGTGAGGAGAGACGTCATCAAATGTACCTATAACACAACAGTGACTGTTCAGTAATAACTGCACTGCAGTGGTGTGTAAATGACTGAGCACAAATGAAAATAAACAGTCTACATTTTTAGCATTCACACATGTGACTGCAAACGCAGCACCTGTGGTTTTGCCATCGCTGACCCATGTGACTGTAGTCAGATCTCTCACTTCTGTAAAGCTGGTGTCTGTACTGATAGCAGCAGAAACAATATGAATGCAGCTGAGTGTTCAAATTATATAAATGACAAAATAAAATGAAATATTTCTATTCTGCTGTCAGTGGAGGATGTAACTGGTGTCTGAGGCCTTCAGAGAGTCTGTTCAGATCAGAATCAGCCAAGTCACGGGAATAAAATCACTTCACACCTTATTCTCCGTCCTCACACACTGAAATCCAACATAAGCCCAGACATCACACTTTGCAGTGGCTGATTTTGAATATGGCAAGCTTCCACAAAATCCTTCACAGTTCTGCTGCTGCTGCTGGGCAATGTGTCGAGATGGCCTGTAAAATGTTGTGAAAATGTGTCGTTAGTTATTATCAGAGATGGCAAAGATGTCCTACGCAATACACAGCTGATAAGAGATGTGTTCACAGTTGCTAAGTTGGTAAATATACTTTATTTCAACTCACGTTCTTTTGGTTTCTTTTAAACTTTTATAACAACTTTGGATGTGCAGCTTGTGTAGATCCTAGGGCTGCACAATTAATCGTTAGAAAATCGCGATCTCGATTCATACTTATTGCGATCTCATTTCCAAATGACAACGATTTTAAAAAAAAAGAAAAAAGACAACGACGATTGTACCGCATTTTGATCCGGGACGTAATCTGCATGAAAACAAGCGCTCACTCTTCCTGCTCAACAAATGACAAGGGCGGAGCCTTATACCACGTGATACAGAAGCTGTGCCGTGTGATGCTAAAATTAGCAGGGAAAAAACAACGGAGAGCACGTCAGGGATGACGAGAAAGTGACAGGAGAAAATCCGTCCCGGTCAACCACCCAAACATCAATAACGGGAACCTTATACAGCGCTTCCCTATACCCGTCGAACTCCCGCAGGCACAAAGAAATTACGGAGGCTATCACTTATCACCTGACCAAAGATATGGCTCCCATCAACACTGTGCAAAACGAGGGATTTAGGAAAATGATCAACACCCTAGACAAACGCTACACAGTGCCGTCCCGCAACTATTTTTCTATTGTTGCACTACCTGCTCTATACACGCAGTGTCGAGCAACGGTGGAGACGGAATTTCAAGCAGTACAACATTTTGCGGCAACAACAAAACGTGAGACATTTGTTGTTTTTATGTTTATTTATTGTTTTTATGTTCAGTCTCAACTGTTACGAAGTTGATGTGCAGTTAATAAGTGCAATAAATATTTATACTGGAAAAGAAAATCGTGAGAGAATCGTGATCTCAATTCTAAGCCAAAAAATCGTGATTCTCATTTTATGCAAAATCGTGCAGCCCTAGTAGATCCCCAAAACTTGATGCTGTTCATCTGGAAAAAGAACTAAAGAAGGCAAAAAGAATAATTATGTTTTTTAAAGCTTTTCCATCATTTTCAGAGGGAGCCTGATGAAAAGCTGAGTGCCGCGCGAGAGGTATGCTACTAGTTGAGGCAAGACCTGGAAAGAGCGAGACTTTTGGTGGAGCTCATCCGCAAGAGGGAGCGGCTAAAGAGGAAACAGGTGTGTTTAAAAGGAAGTCTGGGACAAGTTTATGGACCAAACATTGAATGTTTTCATTTAAGGAAGAT